GGGGGAGGATGATGAACAAAAAGGAAGAGGACGAGGCCTCTTGGGCGCCTCTTGGGGCACTCTTGGGGCCTCTTGGGAGCTTCCTGGGGGCCTCTTGGAAGGTTTTTTGGGCCTTTGGGGGCTTCTTGGGGGCCTCTTTGGCCGTCTTGGGGCGTTCCTGGCTTGTCTGACGCCGTCGGAAGCCGTTTTGGGGGCCTGTCTGGGTCGTATTGGGGCCCTCTTGGGGCATATCAGGGGCTCTTAGAGGCCATCTTGGGCGTCTTGGAGGCCTCTTGGGCCGTTTTGGGGCCCTATTGGGGCCGTCTTGGGAGCCCCTTTGGGGCCGTCATGTGGCCATCTTGGAGGCCTCTTGGGCGATCTTGGAGGACTCTTGCGCCGTCTTGAACCGTTGGAATGCCGAAAAGAAGCAAATGCCAACATCTTTCAAAATCCCTAGGACATCAATGATTTTGGCCTCGTCGTGCCCTCCTGGAAGGCTTCCTGGACGCCTTTTGGGCTGTCTTGGAGGCCTCTCGAGGGCCTCTTGGGCCGTCTTGGGCCATCTTGAGGCCATCTTAGGCCGTCTTGGGTGCATCTTGGGCAGTGTTGAAAGCATCTTGGGGCCACCTTAGCCGTCTTGGAGGCCATCTTCGCCGTGTTGGAGGCCCTTTGGGCCCTCTCGGGGCAGTCTTTGGGGCCTCTTTGGCCGTCATGGGGCCATCTTGGAGGCCTCGCGACGGCGGTGACGACGACGACGGTGATGACGACGGCGACGACGACGACCGCGACGACGACGACGATGACGACGGGCACGGCGACGACGACGACGACGGCGTCGACGACGACGACGACGACGATGGCGGCGACGACGACGACGACTACGGCGTCGACGACGACGACGGCGACAACAACGGCGACGGCGACGACGACGGCGGGACCGCGACGACGACGACGATGACGGCGACGACGACGCCGACGACGACGGCGACGAGTACGACGGCGATGACGACGACGGCGACGAGCACGACGACGACGACGACGACTGCGACGACGACGGCGATGATGACGACATCGACGGCGATAACGGCGCCGACGGCCACAACGTCGGCGACGACGACGACCGCGACGACGACGTCGTCGACGACGACGACGACGGCGACGACGGCGGCGACGGCGACGACGGCCACGACGGCCACGACGGCGACGACGGCGGCGGAGAGACGACTACGACATTAACGACGACGACGACGACGGCGACGGCGACGACGACGGCGATGACGACGACGACGGTGACCACGACGACGGCGACAACGAGCACGGCGACGACGGTTACGACGACGGCAAAGGCGACGACGGCGACGACGACGACGACGACGGCGACGACGACGGCGACGATGACGTCATCGACGGCGATAACGGCGCCGACGGCCACAACGACGGCGACGACGACGACGGCGACGGCGACGACGACGGTGGCGGCGACTTTCGACGGCTTCGAGCATGACGATGACTACGACGACGACGTCGACGACGGCGACGACGACGGCGACGACGCCGACGACGACGGCGACGACGGCGACGACGGCGACGACGGCCACGACGACGGCGACGGCGGCGGAGAGACGACTACGACCGACGTTGACGGCGACGACGGCGACGGCGACGACGGCTATTGCGACGCCGACGGCGACGGCGACGACGACGACGACGGCGACAACGACGACGACGGCGACAACGAGCACGGCGACGACGGTTACGACGACGACAACGGCGGTGACGGTGACGACGACGGCGACGACGGCGACGACGACGGCGACGACGACGACGACGGCGACGACGGCCATGACGACGACGACGGCGGCGACGACGAGCACGACGACAGCGACGACGACGATGCCGACGGCGACGACGACGACAACGACGACGGGCCCAACGACGACGGCGACGGCGACGACGACAGCAACGACGGCGACGACGGCGACGACGACGACGACGATGGCGGCGACGACGACGACGACCACGGCGGCGGCGACGACGACTACGACGTCGATTTCGAAGGCGACGACGACGTCGACGACGGCGACGAAGACGACGGCGTCGGCGATCACGACGACTCCGGGCATGACGACGGCAACGTCGACGACGACGTCGACGGCGGCGACGACGACGGTGACAACGACGGTGTCCAGCATGACGACTACGACGTCTACGACGACCACGACAACGATGAAGACGACGACCTTGACGACGGCTACGACGACGACGACCACGACGACGACGACGGCGGCGACGACGACGACGATGACGGCGACGGCGATGACGACGACGGCTGAAAGCGCGGGAGGCACGCGACGCAGCGCGAAGAATATTTATATTCGACGTCCAGGCCCGTCAACATTCCGAAATTCAGGGCCGAGGGCAGGGGAAAACAAGGGACCTCGTCGTCGTCGTCGTCGTCGTCGTCGTCGTCGTCGTCTTCGTTCTGGTCATCGTCGCCGCGTCGCCGCCGTCGGCGCCAACTGGCGCTTGCGCGCTGGCGCCGGGGGGTAGGGTTCGGGGAGGGTGGGGGGGAGGGAGGAGGGGAGTCCCCCTTGTTCTGTTCGACGGCGCTGAATGTTGGGGGGGGGCCCGGTTCAAACGCGCCGCCGAATGTTGCCAAGGCGAGCGACCGTGAAACGCGGTCCCTCCGAGATAGCAAAAACGCCAGAATGAATGAAAGCATTTCTAACAAGTCGACGAATTTTGCTTCTCGGGGCTCGCTGGGGAGTGTTTGTGGAGGTTTTTGGGAGCGTCTTGGAAACGTATGGGGCCGTCTGAAGGCTGTTGCGGCGTCTTGGATCGATCGTTTTCGGATTCGGGGCCCTTGTGAGCCGTTGTGGGCCGTTCTTCTGAAGGGCACTCTTGCCGCGTCTTCGCGCTCCTGGCCCCGGGACCGCCCGAAGTGAGGGCCGTATTTGGGTGGCGGCCTCGCCAAGGGCGTCCCCCGGGACCCCTCCCCCCGGTGCGGGGTAGGGATGAAAGGGAATGGGCGTCCCTTCGACTCAGCTACGGGACCGCCCGAAGTGGGTGCGTATCTGGGTTGCGGCCCCCCCGGCCCCCCCCCCGCTTGCCACAGCGAGGAAGGGAAGGGATGTACAGGAAGAGGCTTCCCTTCGACTAAGCTACGGGACCGCCAACGGGGGGTGCGCATCTGTGTGGCGACCCCCGCCGGGACCACCCCCAGTCGGGACCCCCGCCAGGAGCCCCCTTCCGGCGGGGAAGGGGTGAAATGGAACTGTTGCCTTTAGACTCAGCTACGACGATGCTCAATTTCGCTTGGCCTTCGACTCGGCTACGACGTTGCTCAATTTCGCTTTTGTTTCGCTTGGGTGGCGCGTTTTCTGGAAAAGCGTCTTCGACACGCCGACAGGGTCGGCGGATTTTGGCTTCGTGAGCCCCCCCTGTCCAGAAATCGAGGTTCCGTGGCTCGCGCAGCCGTCTTCGTCATCAACTATCTCGATCGACAGGGCTTCCAACGACCTGATGGCACCCACCCCATGATGCGCCACCGGAAGTACGACAGTCGCTGTGGAGCGCAGAGTGATCAGACAGCATGCGCTTCTCCGGAAGTGTCTCGTCTTCTGCCGCCGGGGCTCTCGCCTTGGAGGAAGCGTTGCGGGCATTTGGGCTCTACTGCTCTTCCTGCTTCGAGCCTCGCCGTGGCCTCCTCCGAATGGGCTCCTCTGGTTTTTCGTCGTCTGGCCTGCGCGAAAATGCCACTTTTGTGCCCTCCCGGTCTGCATCCCTCAGACCCCCCCCCTCTCCTCCCTCCCTCCCTCTGAACGACACCGCGTAAATGACGCCCCCACCCCCGGCCATAGCGGGGGTGAGGCAGTTCTGAAGTATGGGTGCCGCGACGAGGGGGTAGGATCTTTGGGGACGGCCCACGTTCGAGCATCAGCCTCGAAGGTCGCCGACATCTCACCCCCAGATCCGGCACCCCGCCTGCGGGGAATGCCTACGGGAACAGCCGTCAGGGTTGGGCCGATGATCCTCAGGACGTGTGTTAGCCCAAGCGTGTGCTTACCCCGTTTGGTTCCGCCGACAGCGCGCAGCTTGTGTCAGCCCTCGAGGGTTGTGCCGCCTACGTCGTGTTGAAGGGCCTCGGTGGACAACACACGTTGGCGCTGACACACGTTGGGGATGCCATTTTGAATCAGACTTGCTACGTGCGCACGGGCCCGCGCGCCTTGCCCGGACTGGCTCCTAGATCGTAAATCACAGAAGCTGCCGCTCGCCTCGGATGGAGCTTGTGTCGGCGAATGGCGCTGAGCAGCGCCCCGCAGCGTCACAACAGCACCCACTGGCACCCACGCCAGCGCCGAACAGGGCTCGAAGGGCGCCCACTGGCGCCACTGGCGCTCCGTGAGGGAGGTGCACCATGTCCGCTCTGCACGCCATTGGGCGCGCCACTGGGCGCCGTGGGCACGACACGGCCTCTGCGAGCTGCCCTCTCTGCGGGCGCGGGCGCAGGCGCCCCTCCGCGCCCGCCTCGCCCGCTCGCGCCTGCCCCCCTCGGGGGCGCCGCTCCCTGGCAGGACGCCCTCGCGGACATCGAGCAGCACCGGCGGCAGCTGCACGAGCTGGCCGACACCCGTGCGGTCTGCCTGCGCGAGCTGTCCGACACCCGCGCGGCCTGCGAGCGGCAGCAGCGGCAGTCGGGGGGCACCAACCATGAGGATGCCACTCCTGGGAGGTTTGATTCGGCATCGGCGCCGGGACATCCGTGGTCGGAATTTGGCCAATCCCGCCAAATCTCGCTTTACCCCGCTGAGTTTGGTTCATTCCCGCTCCATTCGGCTTTCTTCCAGGCTTTATCCGATTTTAATCTGGCCTGATCCGGCTTCGTGGCCCCGTAAGCGAGCTTAAATGGCCCTTCATTTTAACGATAACCTCACAGGAGCTGCTTTCTGGCAGCTACAGCAGGTCCGCGCCGCATCCACGCAGTGGAGACCCCGCCGCGGACGCTCAAGGTTGAACACCCCCAGCGGTAGAGGAGCGGTTCGGTTTATTAGAGGACCGGTTCAGCAGTGACCCGCTCGACAGGACCCGTTCGACATGGAACAGTTTCAAGAGGACCCGTTCGACAGAGGACCCGGATCACAGCAGAGGCCGGTTCCACAGACCAGGTTCCACAGGGCAACAAAGCAGTCATCGCCTTGTGACCCGCTCGTTAGGGGCTGCCAGCACGAACCGCCCGTTAGGGTCGTCGTCGTAGATGTCGCAGTCGTCACCCTCGCAGCCGTCGTCGTTGTCACCCTTCTCGTTGTCGTCCTCTTCCTGCTCCTTGTCGGCGTTATCGTCGTCGCTCTCGTCGTCGTTGTCGTCGTCCTCGTCCTCATTAACGTCGTTGTCGTTGTCAATGTCGTCGTCGTCGTCGTCCTCGACGAGGTCGCTGTCCTCGTCATCTTCTTGGCCTTCGTCGTCGGTGTCGGGGTCGCCATCGCCGTTGCCGTCATCTCCGTAGTCGTCGTCGTCGTCGGCGTCGGCGTCGGCGTCGTCGGCGTCGTCTTCATCGTCGTCCTCGACATGGTCGTCCTCGTCGTCTTCGTGGCCCTCGTCGTCGTCGGTGTCGGGGTCGTCGACGCCCCCGTCCCCGTCGTCGTCCCCGTCGGTGTCGTCGTCGTCGTTGTTCTCGTGGTGGGCGTGGTCGGCGTCGTCGTCGTCGTCTTCGTCGTCGTTGTCGCCTTCGTCTTCCTCGTCGTCGTCGTCGTCGTCGTCGCCCGCGTGAATGTTTCGCCCAACCCGACCCGCCCAACAGTTTGGGCCCGCCCGCCCGACCCGCCCGTTAGCGTCCGGCCGCCTGACCCTTTCAACCCGCCGTCTAGTGCCCGCCCGCCCTACCCGCCCTTACGGTCCGCCCGCCCGACCTGCCTGGTAGGGTCTGTCCGCACGACCTGCCCGTTAGGATCGTCGTCGCAGTCGTCGCAGCCGTCACCCTTGTAGTCTTCGTTGTTGTCGCCCTCCTCGCCGTCGTCGTCGTCATCCTCGTCGTCATCTTCGTGGCCCTCGTCGTGGATGTCGTCATCGTCGTCGTCGTCGTCGTGGTCGGCGTGGTTGTCGTGGTCGGGGTGGTCGTCGCCACCGTAGGCGTCTTCGTCGTCGTTGTCGTCTTCGTCGTCGTCTCCGTTGATGTCCCGCTGGGTGGCAGCTGGGTGATGTTCCGCCCGACCCCACCCGCTTGCCCGTTAGGGTCCGCCCGCCCGACCTGCCTGGTAGGGTCTTTCCGCACGACCTGCCCGTTAGGGTCGTCGTCGCAGTCGTCGCAGCCGTCACCCTCGTAGTCTTTGTTGTTGTCGCCCTCCTCGCCGTCGTCGTCCTCGTCATCCTCGTTGTCGGAGTCGTTGTCGGCGTCGTTGTCGGCCCTCGTAGCCCTCAACGTCGTCTTCGCCGTCGTCTTCGTGGCCCTCGTCGTCGAGGTCGTCGTCGTCGTCGTCGTCGTCGTGTCGACGTGTTTGTCGCGGTCGGCGTGGTCGTCGTCGCCGTTGGCGTCTTCGTCGTCGTCGCGTCGTTGTTGTTGTCGTCTTCGCCGTCGCCACCGTTGATGTTCGGCTGGATGGCAGCTGGGTGGATTACACATTACTTTGATGTTCCGTCCGGCCCGACCCGCCCGCCTGTTAGGGTTCGCCCTCCCGACCCGCCCGTTCGCGTTCGGCCGCCTGACCCGCCGGTCCCGCCCTTTCGGGTCCGCCCGCCCAGCTTGCCCGTTTGAGTCGTCGTCGCCGTCTTCGTCGTCTTGCCTTCGTTGACGGCGTCGTCGTCGCCCTCGTCGCCCTCGACGTTGGCATCGTCGTCGTCGTCCTCGCCTTCGTCATCGTCGTCGTCGTCGTCGCCTTCGTAGTCATTGTCGTTGTCGCCCTATTTGTCGACGTTCTCTCTGTCGTTGTCGGCGTCGTCGTCGTTGTCGTCGTGGCCGTCGTCGTTGTCGTGATCAACCCCGACGTTATCGTCGTCCTTGTCGTCCTCGTCGTCGTCGTCGTCGTCGTCGCCGTGTCGTCGTCGTTGTCGTGGTCGTCGTCGCCCTCGTGGGTATCCAGCTGGATGGACTGCACACCACGCTAATGCCCCGCCCGACCCCACCCGCCCGTCCATGAGGAGATGCCCGCCCGACCCGCCCATTAGGGTCCGCCCGTCCGTCACGCCCGTTAGAGTCCGCCCGCCCGACACGAGCGTTCTGCTCGTGGTCGCCCTTATATTCGTTGACGTTGTCGTCCTCTTTGTCGTCGTCCGCGTCGGTGGCATCGTCGCCGCCCTCGTCGCCGCCCTCGTCGCCACCGTCGCCACCGTCGTCGTCGTCGTCGTCGTCTTCGTCGTCGTTCGTCGTCGTCATCCTTGCCCTCGACGTTGATGTCGTCTTCGTCGTCGTCGTCACCCTCGTCGGCGTCGTCGTCGTCGTCGTCGTTGGCGTCGTCGTCGTCTTCGTCGTCATCATCGCCCTCGACGTTATCAGCGTCTTCGTCGTCTTGGTCGCCCTCGCCCTCGTCGTCGGCGTCGTCTGGGGGCTTGTCCGCAACACCGTCTGGGGACATGGTCGAGGGAAACGAATTTTCGGGGAAACGGATCTGGGGAAACGGGTCTGGGGAACAGGTCCTGGGGAGACGGGTTTGGGGAACAGGTCTTGGGGAAACTGGACGGGTGAAATTCTTCACGCTTCGCGTATCCCCACCAGCCCATCCCCAAACAGCAACTCCAGCGAAGCATGCCGACAGTCGTGTTTTTCAGGCGTATTTCTGCCTGCTCTCGCATATATACCCTGTTCCTATGTCCTCCTGCCGCCTTGTACATCCACCTAGTGGGGGGAGCGGGAGGAGGACGAGTCCGAGGAGGAGGACGGAGAGAAGGTGTTGGGAGGGAAGACAGAGGGCGGTCGTCGTCGTTTCACACACGTGAACGAGTCAGACGACTCAAATGACGGCGACGCCTCAGACGATGACGGCGACGACCACGACGACGGCGACGACGACGACGATTACGATGACAACGACGACGTCGGCGACGACGATGCAGGCGACGACGACGACGACGATCCAGCGTTCTCCCCCGACCAGTTGTGCAGTGAGCGTAACTCGCCACGGATGGGCAGGTAGTAGTAGTAGTAGTAGTAGTAGTAGTAGTAGTAGTAGTAGTAGTAGTAGTAGTAGTAGTAGTAGTAGTAGTAGTAGTAGTAGTAGTAGTAGTAGTAGTAGTCGTAGTCGTAGTCGTAGTCGTAGTCGTAGTCGTAGTAGTAGTAGTAGTAGTAGTAGTAGTAGTAGTAGTAGTAGTAGTAGTAGTAGTAGTAGTAGTAGTAGTAGTAGTAGTAGTAGTAGTAGTAGTAGTAGTAGTAGTAGTAGTAGTAGTAGTAGTAGTAGTAGTAGTAGCAGTAGCAGTAGCAGTAGTAGAAGTATGAGTAGTTGTTGTTGTTGTAGTAGGAGTCGTGGTGGTAGCGGTGGGAGTAGCGGTAGAAGTCGTAGTCGTTGTCGTTGTCGCAGTGCTTGGGGATATACTAGGGCCTTCTTGGCGATATGTGGAGACATCTTGGGGATATACTAGGGCCTTCTGGGCGATATGTTGGAGGTCTCGGAGCCCTTTGCGGGCTCTCCCGGGGCGCTCTTAGGGCCCTCTTGGGGCTCTTTGGGAGGGGTCTGGGAGGTATCTTGGGGCCATCTTTCGGGCGATCGATCACAGATGGGGCGAGCATTTTTCTCCCCCCCCCCCGTCGGGGCCACGATCCTCGTGAGGGGTGTCGAATTCTAGCCCTCCCAGGAGTCGAAAAAGACCCCTCCGACCACCCGCGGAAGGACCTCTCCAGGCCCTGGGGGAGGGGGTAGGGGGAGGGGTAAACCCCTCCCCGAAGGGGAAGAAGGGGGTTGAGAACAGAGCGGGCTCTCTAAACTACTCACGCCCAAAGGGCTGGTGGGATTTGACCAGGCAAACAGGACTCTTGGGAAGCGGGGCAGAGGGAAACGGTCTCAGGGGAAACGGGACTGGGGAAATGGTCCCAAGGAAACGGATCCTAGGAAGCAGATCCCGGGGAAGCGGTCCTCTATCCCGCCAGGGGCCCGCATTCTTCGATATCGGAAAACCGCGATCGTTCTTGAACGATCCCCGCGGTGTCAGAAAAGAGACACCAGCACCGTTCTTGGCCTGACCAATCCTGGGTAAGGGATGCTTGTGGAGGCTATCTATACACTACCACCGTGCCTGGCAAGGGCCATCCTGGAACCTGGGATGGTGTATGCGCCCTCCCGGCCTCCGCCAGGACCGCGTATGTACATACCATGCCAGGTCCCAGCATGATCCTGGCCAGGCATGATGGTGCGTAGGATAGGCCTGGTCAGGACTCGAAAGTTGCAAGAGGTGACCCTGGCCCGAGGTGGCCCCATCTCTGCGCTCCGTCCTAGTGCCCCTGGGGCTCTCGTGAGAGGTACCCTGGAGGCCCCCTGCTGGGCCTCCCTGGAACTCAGCGGGGGTCACCTCGGGCCAGGGCCACCTCTGGCAAGGCCCGCAGGGTCGGTGCTGGGGCATGGGCTTCCTCCCAGGCAGCTGCACGAGTTCTCCGGCGAGCTTGCCGCGCTGACCTTCTTGCGGCGCGCGCCCGCCCCCGCCCCGCCCTTGTGGGTCTTACCAGATGCCTGCATTGAGGGCTCACGCTCACGCATTGTTGTGTCCGCTCTCGTCCCGTCTGTTCTTTTCCTTCTCCTCCTCCTCCCTGTTCCTCCCTGATCCTCCCTCTTCCTCCCCCTCCAAAGAAAGAACATATTGCGCTGCATCCGCCACCGCGCTCGGACGGGCGCGGGGGGGGGAGCCCCGGGGGGCGGGATGGGGTGACGGTCCATGGAACCCCGTTCGCCCCAAACTTTCTATATTAGGGACCCTTTTCTGCCTGGCAGGCCAGCATCGCAAGGACTTTGCCACGCAAGCGGACGCATTTTGGGCTCGACGCGACAGGGGGGAACCCCAACGATTGCCTCGCAGAAGGCGAAAAAAGCCCGATGCACACCGACCGCTACAAACGCGGTGGCGGACATTTTGAGGGTGGTTCCTGTGCCCTCCCTCTCACTTCAGGCGATCGCAAGCATGGATTCAGGGGGCGTGGATTAGCGACGGGTCCCGTTTCATGGGAAATTGTGGATTTCTGCCGCCGAGCGAGGCGGCACCGGCCACATTTTGGGAGGGCACCTTCCCCGATCCATGGATTTGGCGACCGCGCGCAGAACCCGTGGATCGCTAATCCATGTTTGTGCCCTCTCTCCATCGCTCGAGCGCCCCACTGGGCGCTCGCCCTCCAGCGCTGCGGGCCCGCGCCGTGCCAGCGGGGCGAGGCCGAGCGCCCCGCAGCGGCCCGGGTTCGGCACGCACGTCGAGCGATCTCGGGGGTTGCCAGCGGGCGTGTGATGACTGGATGGGGTAGGACATCGCGTCCAGGGCCATGACATCTCCCCAGATGTCATGGCCCCTCTTCTTCTTCTTCTTCTTCATCTCCCTTCTTCTTCATTTCCCTTATCATTATTCCTCTTTTTATTATTCCTCTCTCTTCTTCTTCTTATGCGTCCCCTTGCCCCCCCCCTCCCCCTCGTCCGCGCAGATGCCTCGGTCATGATCTGCGGCCCCCCTCTTGGACGCACCCCCGCTTGGGCACCCCAGCGACGATCTGCGCCAATAGAACGCCGCGACCGAACGCGACCCGCACAGTGTTTGAGGCCAGTGGCAACGTCGTCGCGGCGTGGACTTGCTGCGGTCGCTGCAGCCTATCCCGCTCCTCCCTCCTCCCCCTCCTCCTCCTGGCGGGAGGCTGGATGATGCTGGCGCTTGTTTTGCGTCTCTGCGAAACGCAGGCGCTACTGTGATCTCGCCCTCCTCCTGTCCCTCAGCCTTCTCCTCCTTCTTCTCCTCCTGCACCTCCTCCTGCACCTCCGCTTCGTCCTTTGTGGCGGCCTTACGAAAGGATTCCTTTTGTGGCGGCCTTACTAAAGGATCCTCTTTTGTGGCGGCGTTACAAAGGAATGCCCTTTGTGGCGGCTTTACCAGCATGATTCCTATTTTGGCGACCCTATAAAAAGGATTCCTTGTGCGGCGACCCTACAAAGGATTGTTGTTGTGGCGGACCTACACGCTAATTTTCTTGGTGGTGGCCTTGCAAAAGGATTCCTTTTGTGGCGACCTCACAAAAGGATTCCTTTTGTGGCCGCCCTACAACAGGAGTTCTTTTGTGGCGGCCTTATGAAAGGATTTCCTTCGTGGCCGCCCTACAACGAAAGGATCCCCTTTGTGGCGGCTTACAAAAGGACTCCTATTGTGGCGGCTTTCCGAAAAGACGCCTTCTGTGGCGGCCCTACAAACGGTTTCCTTTTGTGGCGAGCTTACAAAAGGATTTCCTTTCTGGTGGCCTTCGCGGCGCGAGGGCCGGCGCAGCGCCAGGGCGCGAACAGGCGAAAATGCAAAAGGCAGAAAATCCAAACAACAAAAAATACAAGGACATCCCAAGACATCCATGCGAAAAGGGTGCGACAACTAAGGGAAACCAATGCTTTGTTGCTATTTGATCGCCACGAAAACTGTGAAACACACAGGGTTTCGTGACGTCGAAATGCTAACACCTGGTGTTTTCACAGGTTTCGCGGCGATCATATAGCAAACGCATGGTTTGTCCTTAGGTCTTGTATTTTTTCGAATGGATGTCTTGGGATGTCCTTTTTTGTTTTGTTTTGTTTTTTCCTTTTTGTATTTTCGGGTGCCCGCCCCTGGCGACGCGAGGGCCAGCGCAGCGCCAGACAGCGAACAGGCTATAAAAAAGGCACAACATGCAAAAGCAAACAAAGAAATCCGAGGACATCCCAAGACATCCGTGCGAAAAAGGTGCGACAACTAAGTCAACCTCATGTGTTTGCTATCTGATCGCCACGATAACCTGTGAAATCACAAGGTTTCGTGACGTATAAATGCTAAAACCTGTTGTTTTCACAGGTTTCGTGGCGATCAGATAGCAAAGACATGGTTTGTCCTTAGGTGTTGCAGCTTTTTCGCGTGGATGTCTTGGGATGCATGTATTCTTGCCTTTCTCGCATTTTCACGTGCCTGCCTCTGGTGGTTATGTTTTCTCTTGTGGCAGCTTTACAACAAGTTGTCCTTTGAAGGCGGCCTTACAAAGAATTCCGTTTGTGGCGGACTTGCGTAAGGATTCTTTTCGAGGCGGCCTTACAGAAGGATTCTTTTTGTGGCGGCCTCGCAACGAAGTTTGCTATGTCGCGGCGCTACAGACAGGACCACTTTTGTAAACACGACCAACAGAAACGTGACAACGGAATGGCGAAGCCTTTACGACGGAAAGGAAGCGCCAGGCTCATCCAGCCCCTTCCGCTCCCTCTCCTCCTCCCTCCCCCTCCTCCTTCCTCCTTCCTCCTTCCTCCTTCCTTCTCCTCCTCCTCCTCCTCCTCCTCCTCCTCCTCCATACCTCCCTACTTATCATCCTATCCCCATCCCTCCTCCTGCTCCCTGCTCCCCCTCCTTCTCCCTCCCGCTCCTCGCGCCTCGCGCCTCGAGGAACTCCCCCGCGCCCGTGGACCCGCGCGTGGACGCGCTGGAGCGCGGCCAGCGGAAGCTGGCGGCGAGCGCCCGCAAGGCGTTGCAGACGTCGCTCGCGGTGCAGCAGCAGAAGCAGGACGGCCGCCTGCCCGCCACCGCCACGATCCAGAGGACGAGGAGGTGCGGATGCCGCTACCCTTCGTTTTGCCTTCCTGGGCCTCCTGGAAGTCCTTCGCTGTCACGGCTGGATTCGCCTCGAAACTCTGGTCCGAACGCACCCCCGGAAAGGTACGGGGACCAGCGGTATCGGTACTTGTTGAGGATTTCGCCTAGGATGCAGACGCCCAGACCCGTTCTTCTTGGCGTGAGAACCAATGGATCTAATTGGATCCCAGTGGGGCTGTGCGAAAGTCCCGTGGATCCATTTTTTCTCTCGGGCGGTTCCGGTTTCCCGTGTGTGAAAATTGGCGGATCCATTTTTTCTAGCACAAGTGTTAGTGTTACGAAAATTCTTGGACCCCAGGGGGAAATGGGCTCCACGGAGCCCTGGATCTGCAGATCTCTTGTACGGTTCTTGATTCTATGGGGGAGGGGCTGCCACTGCCTCAGCAGAAGTGCAGGCATTGGGGGCTCAAGCGCATATCCACCACCGTGAAGAGAAGGTGTCCTGGAGGTTTTAAAAGGATCGAGGTTCCAGGTTCGAAACGCTTGTTTCATATTTTTCGTGCCTCTGGAAGAGTCCTCGTTGCCACGGTTGGATCTGTTTGAACTTTTAGTGCAAACGGGCCCCAGGGAGTGATAGTTCTCCCTCGGACATGAAGAAATTTAACAGATCCAGGAGGACAGGGTTACGGTTTTTGCAATTATCGGGGTCCTGGGGCCGTTCCTGGAGCCCTGGGGCCGTCAGAAGCGATCCAGGAACAGAACCCCCAAATCGATGTAGATACCTTGACTTGGCGACGACTCACGCCTACAAACGTGTGACTTCGCTGCGGACTGGATCTGCCCGCCCATCTTCACTGACAAGGGATCTCTCTCAAATTTTGTATCATTTGACTCTGGAATCTTCAGCTGGGCTGGACCTGGAGTGGCCTGGGGGCCTGGGGGCCTGTGAGCGCCTGGCGAAAACATGCCCCCAGGGTGCGCCATCGATGTGGCTGTGGTCGCTCGCTGCCCCCGCACCCAGCGCCTCGCCCGATGAGCTCACGGCACGCGCCGGCGAGCGACGGCCGCGGGCGGCAGGGCGCGCCGCGGCTCGGCTGCTGTGGCTGCGTAGCGCTTGCCACGCTTCGCTGGCCAGGACTGCCAGGCAGCGCTCGGGTGTGACGGTCTCCGGGGGAAACGCACCGACCCCTAAGGGAGCGTTTGCGTATCCCCCGGCCGAGGACGGGCGCTACTGGGGGGGGGCATAAGCGTCACCTTTCGGAGCTCCGCGCCGATCCAAGAAATCTCCGTGGACCTCCGAACTAGGTTCATGCTGTTTTTTGTCCCTCTTATCAAGCAGTGGCGAAGCGTCCTGGCTCGCTTATAGGCCTAGCAAAGAATGTTCTAAGAACCTTTTGTGGTTTGCACGAGATGTTCTTAGAACATTTCTGGTCGTGGCTTTCTTATTTCGACGCATCGGGTTCCTGTTCTAAGAACGTGGCTTTTGTTCTCAGAACATGTTTGGGTTCTGAGAACAGTTCGTGGTAGGACTACAGGAATGCCGGGACGGTCGGTCCCTGCTCAATCTTATCGGTCCCCACGCCCCCACTCCTCGCCGACGGGGGCACGAGAGCCCACCCCGCTCAGGCCGGCCGTGCGGGCTCCTGCTCTCGGCGGGCCCCTCTCAGATCCGCCGGCGCCGTGCCGCCGCTTCCTGCGCGATTCAGGAGGGAAAAACACACAGACACAATGGATCGTCGACCCCCAGGAGAATATGGGAAAACATGGGCGGTGCCCAAGGACGACCTGGGAGACGCTCGTCCGACACTGTTTCGACACTCTCTCGACACTCTTTTGACACACTTCCTTCCGGGTGCTCGGGATTATTGCTTGGATGTGGTCCCCAAGTCGACGGCGACGGCGACGGCGACGGCGACGACGACGGCGACGACGACGACGACGACGACGACGACGACGACGAGGACGACGACGACGACGACGACGACGGCCGCCAGCGGGTTCGTGAGGCGCGTGGCTCCTCCGCGCCTTCTCGGGGGGATGGCAGCAGGGCGGCTAGCCTGCGCCCCCCGCGCTCGCCGGCGCCGACCGCCGCAGGCGCGGTCTTCCTTGGCTCGAGTGCCTGTTGGGCGGCGCGCAGAGGGGAGCACCGTCAGCCATGACAGTAAGGATTGGGCAGCTTTCCAGGGCTGCCCCTGCATCCTTGCCCCTTCGGTATTCGGCATCCTTCGGCATTCTGCTGCGCTCCGCACGGCAAACGTCAATATGGCGTTCCAAGTCCCTTGCATCCTTACCGCGCATCCTTACTATCCTGGTCGAGTGTAGGGGGAGGGGGGAAGGCGTCTAAGAAGCACCCCTGCCTCTGAGAAGGCGCGGGCTTCGTCCACAGATGTAAGGCCCGCGCCTGCGAAGAAGCAGCCTCCTTCTAAGAAGCCTTCCCCCCTCCCCCTGCCCCCCTTTGCGCGCTGCCAGTGCCTGGGCCGCGGCCTGCGGTCTATCGCACTGCATACGGAGCGCGCGAGCGCGGACTATAATTTGTTTTTGCAAGGCGGGCATGGTGCGCAAGAGAACTGCAATAAGTACGCACGATAACAAATATCTCATCATCGGCGCGCCGCCCGACACGAGATCGCGGCACAAATGCCTCCTCGGCTCCGCGAGCCAACCCACTGCGCGCGGGCCTTCTTATTCGGCGACGCCTTCGGCGCATGCGCGCGGAGCTGCTCCCCCTAATTGATTGACTTGGTGTTCTCCAAGAGCGGTATCTTCAGTTTGAACGTCTCCGTGCCGACCGAGACATCAACAACTTGAAACTTGATGGTCATGCTAGCTTTCTTGGCATCGGCCTCCCTGTCAATGAGCCAGTAGTGCGGCATGAAGCCTTCCTTCGTCGCCTTCTTGTAGCTGCCGCGCTTGGTGTCTGCGGTGCCGCTATCCTCGTACTTCTGCAGCTTCTGGGTGAGAATGACCTTCGCATTTACGCCACCCTCCTTGATTTCCACGCCGACGTCGACGCTGCCATTTGGAACGGTCTCCCTTAATTCAATCTTGGTTGTGAAGGGCGGGAACACCACGCTGGAGACACGGATGTCAACCTTGGCGTACACGCCGCGCTCATCTCTGGGCGCCGTCGCTATGTCGACCAGATCGCCCGCCTCCCCCTGTTGCTGGCCCAAGGCGTCACGCGCCGACGCCACGTGGCCAATCAGCACCATTCCCCTCCAGTCCGAGTTCGAGCGCGGGTCGCCCTGGGAACCCCAAGATTCGATTATCTCCTGTTGAGATGGGGGGAGGGAAGAGGGCAATGAGGGGGCGGCACTCCGCCCTCGACAGAACAACTGGCGAACGCCCTCGGCCGAACAACTGGCGAATGCCAGGACCTGAGGGGGGTGTGGGAAAGAGATGGGGATGGGGGTTGGAAACATGAAAAAGAACACGGGTGGTTGGTAAGAACACCAAGGCCATTTGCCAGATTCGTGGGCCTCCTCCCTCCACCCCCTCCTGCAGCGTCCTTCGGCTGAGCATGCTTCTTCTGCACATGGAACTGTGGGTTCGGGGTGAGGAGCGATTTCATGAAGCAGGCCGTGTCGACCGCGTGTCCGTTCCCATCGTCGATCTTCTGCAACTTGATCCCGTCAATTGTGCTTTCCTGAACTCTGTAGGTCTCTTTCTTGTCGACATCGATCACGGCATCGGCGCTCGCGCCCATGCATTCCAATTGCGACATCATGTCCGTGACTCCGCCAACGAACTGCACGGATGCAAGATGAGGGCCCGCAGCTTTCGGCGCGGGCGCCGTGTCCGTGGCGCCTGCTGGTTTCGCCCACGGAGAGGTGAGCTGCTTGCTTGCAATGGTAGCCAGGTCCTGCGCGTACTCGTAGCTGATGTGGTGAAGCGACTCGAACGTTGGGCTCCTGGGGTCGGGCTTCTTCAGGCAATGGTGCACGAGCCTAGTGCCGAACCTGTTGAGCAATGTCTTCGCGGCTGCATTGTCTGGTGAGCTGTCGGCACTCCTGGCGACGCTTGTCGCAATCGATTTCATGATGTCTGCCTGCGCGACCATGCGCTGCATTTCACTGCTAATCGTGAGCTTGGCCCCGAAGTCAGCCGCGGTGAACAAGTTCTGCACGTCGCCCGTGGCGTATTTGCCATCGGCACTGATCGTTGCCTCGCTGCAGTCGATGCGGAAGGGGGCGCAGCCCATACCACCCTCGCCTAACACTGCGTCGGCCAAGGCCGCCAATGCATTGCCCTGCACAGCGCGGGGCTTCTGCAGAGAACGGTTGAACGCGCGCAGCTCCTTCAACTTACATGCGTCTGGTCCGCCGCTGAGCTTCCTGGCAAACTTCGCCACGCCAGGGATCTCCTTAACGAAGTCTGGCTTTTTGGTTTGTGCTGACTTGATGGCCCTCTGCCGCGCGACTTCGGGGTCCAAGGCTTCGCCCTCCTCCTTCGTGTGTTCGAAGGACGCGATCAACTTCTGAACCTGCCCGTGCATCTTGAACACGGCCTCCCACCTCGTCTCATTCTGGGCCACCCTCTGTCCAGCATTGCCAGCCCCCTGATGGGCGCGCGGCCTCCAGAGGCCCCCAACCCACCCCCAGAAAGAACAGCAACAAACCAGATGCGGGTGACCGATCGTAAAGTTTCGGACGACAAACGCATTGATCGAATAAGTTGGGTCCTGAAGCAAATCGATAATGCCACTGAATTCGTCCTCGGCCTGCCAGGCTAGCACGTCCCACTCGTGCCCATCCCTCGCAGCAGCGGCCAACGATGGGCGCTTCAACCCAATCGCGTGGGTGTCCAGCTTCCCATCGGTACCGAACTCGACGTTGTCTGGATCTGCAGGGCTGCCAAACTGAACGCAGCGGGTGGCCTGGGTCGCGTGCGACTTGCTGGCGCTGAGGATGCGGATCTCGCCTTCGTCGCATTTCGGCAGGAAGCCGTAGGATTCCTTGATCAGGCCATCATTGAATACGAGTGCCTCGGTGTGTCGCGCGTGAGATGGGGGCGGCATCTCGCTTGCGATAGGCGCGCCCACCTCTCCCGAGCTGAACCCGCCATTGCAGAAACTGCGCGCCAGCGTGCTCGCGCGGGAAGGAATCCCACCTGCCCTTTTAGGGCGTAGGCTATAGGGAAGCTGCTCCTCCAAACGCCTTCTTCCCATTCGGGAGGGGGGGAGCGTCCCCTTTGCCCCCCCCCCCTCCCTTCTCTCCTTATCATATCGCCTTCCCCCCCTCCTCCCCCCAGGGCCTGGACGGGGGGTCCGCGAGCGGCCAGGGCGTCCAAGGTTGCCCGAAGAGTCCCCCCCCCAGATGACTTCCAATTTAGCCCATGATGGCTCAATATGGCTGAGGCCCCAAGACCGTCAAGGTTACGAGTACGACTAAGAGTAAGAGTACGAGTAAGAGTAAGAGTAAGGGTAAGGGTAAGAGTGATATTAAGAGTAAGAGCACTAGTAAAAGTAATAGCATGAGTGAGAGGGAGAGTAAGAATAAGAACAAGAGTAGGCGCTTTCATGCTCTTAAGAGTAAGAGTAAGGGTAAGCGTCAGAGTACGAGTGCGAGCAAGAGTAATACTAAGAGTAAGAGTAAGAGCAGAGTAAGCGCCACCCATCCATCCATCCATCCAGCCAGCCAGCCATTCTCCTCCTTCTCCTCATCCCTGCTTCGCTCGGTTCGGCTGTCGAGCTTCCCTGGTCGTTTCTGCGCGGGCTGGTGGGGATGCTTTTTTTGTTCGGCGGGCCGCAAGGAAAAGTCCAGAGGGCGTGTCAACTGGTGGGGATGCGCGAAGCGTCCAGAATTATGTCATCGTCTTGCCTGTTCCGTGGGTGCACGGCAACAAAAGAGGAGTTCATCTTCTCGCGCCTCAACAAACCCTCTCTCCGCAGCACGGCCACCGCCTGGTCACGCAGCAAGAGGATCGGGGGGCAGTGGCTCAGCGCGTACTCCATGAGGATGCCTAAGGTCTCTTCCTTAACGCGGCCCACGCGATCGGCGATGGACGCCATGGCGGGGGCGGCTTCGCTGAACGCAAGACGAGGGGGCGGTTGCGCTCGCGCAAGCTTGGGCACGAGGGGGCGGCTGCGCTCGCGCAAGCTTGGGCAGTGGCAGCGGCAGCAACGATTGCTTTCACCTGGCCACCACAGCCCCCGCCCAATATTACACAGATCGGCGGGCCTGGGGCCCCAGGTTCTTCGGTTGGATTTCTAAGGTCTTCGATGTTCATGCTCGGTGTTCTGGGTCTTGGTATGGTGGAATTCGGGATGATTGTATATCTATGTTGTTCGCAACCGTAATTCATGTTATAGGTTTCCTAAACTCACGCATCTTGCTCAGCGCGCGCTACGTTTGTGATACTTACAGATGCGGGGCCATGACTGGCATAAGTGGCGTAACTGCAGTTACGCCAGTTACATAACTAGAACGTAGGTGGCCTAAGTAGATACGCTAGTTATAACTGGGGGGTCTACTTATAAGTAGCTTGTAACTGGCATAACTGACTTATGCGACTTACGAGATGCTTACGCTACTTCTAAGCAACGTTTGATACTTACGAGCTACTTCTGAGCTGCATATGAGCTACTTACGTTACTTATAACTGGGCGAACTGGGCTATCTACTTAATCAGCCCCGCCGCCTGCAGCAGGGCGCCCCCAGGGCATTTTTGGGACGCTCCCAGGGCACTTCGGCCCCGAGCATGCCCGCGGGGGCTGTTCGTTTTTTTTTGCTGTCGGAGGTCAAACGGAGAGCTGGGGGGCCTTCAGCTCCTCGGGGCTTCTCGGAGGCTATGGCCAGAGCTTCCCAGGGCCTCTTGAAACATTGTCCGGCGCCTTGGGGCCGAATTCCGCGGTGGAGAGGTCTTGCCTCGAGGGTGCTGGGTCGGTTGGATTGGCTTATAGCCTTGGGGGGCTTCAATTAAGCTTGAAACCGGATTGCAACGCGCGCGCGCGCGCCTGCCTGTGTCGTTGCCGGTCGGGCCCGACAGGCCTGCTTCGCCGCGCGCGCGCGCTCCTGGCGGCAGGTTGGGGGATCGACGAGGCCACCCCCGAACGAGGCATGCGTGACTGCGACGCAGCTGAAGTTCAGCGTTGCTTTGGCGATTTTCCGTGCTGTAGGGCCGATGGCCCAGTTCGTCATTCTTCAGATTTCCAACCGCATGAACAAATTGCGCCGTTTCCATGCAGGCCCGAGGAGCACAGCATGCTCGACATTAGCGTGGATGCGATGTGTGAATCACTGGCTCGCGACAAGCGGCGACCCTCCAGCCAGACGGCTGCAGCGGGGATACGAGTATTCAATATGTTGCGCCCCCGCGAGGATCCTCGCATCCGCGCCGGCGAGAGCCGCCAAGGCCATCGGCCATTCGGCGCAACGGTAGGCCGTTTCAGTGCAAGTACTGGTCGCTTCGTAATGCCACTGGTAATATTAACGATTTAGTATTTGGCTCGGAAGGAAGAAGACACAGGAGCCGCTGGCGCGCCGCTGTCGCTGCTCGGAGAATGCAGTCGCGAGCGCGTTTCCAATGGTTTTTCGAGAAGCAGTCCCTATCACGTGGCTCCCCAGATCGAGCTGGCCCTTGCGGGATTGGGCGCCCTGGGTAATGTGGGGCATGTGAGACGGCAGCGGTTTCAAATGCTTCTTTATTGATTGCTCTTGGTTGGCTCTTTGGGTTGTTTTGATGCTGTTTTGCAAGCCTCACTGAAGTTTGCGGGGGGTCCCCAGATGGTTCCGGAACGGCCCGGGAAAGGCCCCAGAGGGTCCCGCGAGCGAGCCGGAGTGAAGCATCTGAGAGGGCAGTTTCCGAATTGCTCCACTTTGGTTAGCTTTCGGGGCCCGCTTGGGGCTCTCGTGGGCCCCCCTGATGGGCTTTTGAGGACTTCGAGTTAGCTCGAACAGAGACCCAAGACAGCCCCGACAGCAGACCGCAATGGGGCATCTGAGAACTTGGTTGAGCATGTTCCACTCAAGTTGGCTTTTGGGGCCGTGTCAGCGTCCTTTGGCGCCTTTCTCGGGCTTTCCGGGAACTTCCGCATGGCCCCGAAAAAGAACCTGACAGAGGTTCCAATGGCCCCGCGGGCAAGCGAGAGCGGAGCAATGGAAACGGGTGTTCCGGATGTTCCACTCCGGTTGGTTCTGGGGGCGCCTCGGAATCCCTTCCGGCGCCCTGGAGGCTTTGGGCTTCAAAATGGCCCCGACAGGGCCCTGGAGGCGACCGGAGAATGAGCCAGAGTGGAGCAACTGAAACAACCGTCTCAAATCTTCGCCTTTGGCTGGCTCCTTGCGCCGTCTCGGGCCCCCCCGCGGGCTTTTTTCAAAGCCATATTTGGCCTCCTCTGGCCCGAGATATCATGCTGTATGCGCAGGTTTCGCTCGAGCCACTCATTGATGTGGGTTGTCTCGTGTGCAAGCATGAACTTGCCTTGTCTTTTGACTCAGGCCGAGGGGTGCGTCGCGCGAGCAGGCGCGCGGCGATGCTCAGTCCGGGTGTCCGTTAGGTGCGATCGTGCGAACGCGCGCTGTGCATATTGATGCGTGCTGCATTCACGTATTTCGTGAAGGGCGCCGCGTATGGTAATTTTATTTGGCCTGCTCCGTCGTGAATTTCACCGTCTGTTATCAATATATGCGTTCACTGGATGTTCATGTGGTTTTCAAGTCATCTTACATTCGTCAAAAGCCAGACACTTCAATTCGTGTGACGCGGGCTTGATTCGGGGAATCCTGCTTGCAGCGGTGTCCCCGAGCGGTTTTCCTACCCTGACCGGGGCACCAGGTGCCGGCGCGCGCGCGCGCGCGCCCGCTGGGGTTCGGCAAGATCGAAAGGAGCAGTTTTACAGAAAATATGGGCACGTAACACCCAACAGCTGCGGGTGCGAGTGAAGGGGCGGGCGCGGGGCGGGTCGCGGGGGGTGGGGTCGCGGGTGGGTCGCGGGGTGGGTCGCCAGCTGGGTCGCGGTTGGGTCGCCAGGGGGTCGCGGGGTGGACGACGACAGCAAACAAGGAGAGTCTGCGCCGCAGAATTCCATTCAGCCACGCACCAGGGATACTCAATGATCGCTCGGTCCCCGTATTCTCACAAAAACCGACAGCAGCTCCTCTACAGGACTCGTTGTCGGTGTCGCCGCGGACTTTGTCCATATGGTCAGGAGTCCGCCTGCCCAACAGCGGCCGCTGGCGGTTTGGGACAGAATTTGTTGCTGGGTGTCGTGCCCATTTTCGTTCGTATCCTATTCGGATTCCACAAATCATGAGGAACAAATGGGCGCAGGCGCAAACTTACATAGATTTTCCCGGAAAATATAGGAACATTTTGGACATGGAGGGGAAGACGAATCATACATTAACTTATGAACAGATGTGAACCTCTATTTATGTGTGTTTCCCTGGGCCCCTCGAAAAAGGGCGGGGTTCAGCGACGTGGGTGACCGCTTGCGAACCCTACACCTGTGGGCCTTATCGGCGATGGGATAGCGGACACCCCCGCTGGGGTTCACCGGGCTGCAGGCACTCTTCAGGTTGTGAACCCCAGCCGTTTTTTTGTCAACCCTGGCCCGCACGGATGCAGTTCACATCTGGCTGCCTGACCAGGGTCTCTCTCTCCTTTCGCCTCCTCTATCTCTCAGACGTGGGCCCCTGGACCTGTTCTGGGGCGTGGTTTGGCAAGAAGGTCGAGGCGGATCCAGCCGCGGCGGTGGGAGCTCCCCGCGGTGGCCCAAGAGTGCCGATCGCCGTCGAAGCCTCGAGGTCTCGACGCTCTGTCCGCACCCTGTTCGCTCTGGAGAGCCGCCGATCCCCCAGCTGGCCCGCCGCCGCTGCAGCCGTCGCAGCCGATGGCCGCCGAGGGCCGCCGAGGACTGCCGAAAGCCGGCGAAGGCCGCCGAGAGCCGCCGAAGGCCGGCCGAGCGGGCGACGCGCCAGGATGAGGCCGAGTCTGCCCGGGCCTCGCCCGAGCTGGAGCGCCAGGTCGCCCAGCGCCTGCGGCACCAGGACGACAGGCCGCCTCTCGCCGCCATGGCCGCCGTCGCGCTCGTCGCCATGGGGCGCCGATCGATCGGGGGTGCGAGTTTTTTGTTGTTGTCGCAGGCCTAGAGGTTGACACCAACACCAATATCGGCGTTGTGCCTCCACCGAGGGAAGAAGATCCCGATCGCGGTAATGGTGGTAATATTTTGGCTTCCAAACTGACCGAAATATTGCACCCAACACCGAAATCCAGGATAATCTTCCCCATGTGGAGGCCCCCCCCTGTGTTGGTGTTGGTGCCCATTTCTAGGCCTCCAATGTTGCCGTTTGTTGTGACATGTTCGGTCTCGGGGGACTTTGTCTGGGCGGACCCCAGGGCCATCAAAAGTCCATCCGTGATGGAGCGTTGTCCAGGATGGGCCCCAGGAGGGGTCCGGGGGCTAGTTTTGAAAGGATTTTGGTAGCCGTCGTCGTCGTCCTCTTCTTCCGCCTTCTCCTCCTCCGCCTCCTCCTCGTCCTCCTCCCGCCGTGATCGTCGTCGTCCTCGTCATCGACCTCCTTGTTCCCCCCCACCCCCTTCCTCCAGCAGGGTGCAGAGTTTTCGCATGCGGCGTGGAATCCCGCAAGTTGGAGCGATTAACCGAACCCCGCGGGTAATAAATCATGCTCCCCCTTCCCCCGGAGAGTTGATTATCCCCTGCCAGAGCAGATTTGGTCGGGGGAGAGGTGGCAAAACCGAACTTTACCATCTCGGGGGAAGTTACGAATCGAAGTTGCGATCTTCTTATGTTGTATAGCAACATCAGCACGAACGTGTGGCAGGGCTATGGGATACTCACCAAGTCAGCTTTCCCCAGTCACGAACGTTCGGCAGCCCAGCCGTGCACCAAGTGCTTGCCCCTCAATGACGGATCCAAAGGGCGCCGAGGCTACATGGGCGAGCGCTTCGAGCTTGTTCGCAAGAGACGGTTCCCGGCGAGGGGCGTCAAGGATCTGAAGAACACGGGCAAGTTCTTCTGACGAGAAAGATTGCGATCGACCTCTAGGCCGCGCTCTCCCGAGGAAAACGTTTCCGTCGTCGTCGTCATACATCCCACGCGCGACTTGCCGGGACAGATGGTTGATTATCTCCCCGGGGCCATGAAGTTTCTCATCCCTTGTGCGTTTCTTCTCGGGGGCAGTTGGTTATCGCTTCGCAGGGAGACGCAACGCGCAGGCTGAACTGCGTCATGGTTACAGTGTAGGGTGGGATTTAAGCCGCACGCTCTGTGGTGACCTGGCCGCGAAGGCGTTCAGAGTGGTTCCTGGTCGACACTGGACAACATTGAACCACGCTGATCCATGCTGACCAATACTGAACAACACTGATGCCCCATTGAAATCGCGCTGGGCGGCAACGAAAACACACAGAACCACAAGAAAAACCACGTTGAGCAACAAACAGAACACCATACTGAAAACCGACCGAAAGAACGGCGACAACCCTGAACGAATTCGACCGGCCCAGGCACCACATTGAACGGCGGCGTGTCTTTCAAGCTGTCGTGGCGTGCCCCGTAAAAGGATCCCCCGGCAGCATCCCCCAGTGTCGCGCCATGTCTTCAGATCGTTCAACCCTGGTGGCTGATCAGCCGACGCGTTGCGACAGATGATCGGCGAGGCGATTGCACGTGGGGAAAAATGTCGCTGAATGTTGACAAGTGTTTCGCACAGTATCCTGGCGTCGCTACCCAGGGACAGGTTGAAGCGCATGGGCAGAAACTTCCCGTTGTGTCAGCTACGACCAACTTCGTACATCTCGGCGCGCACGAGCAACGTTTCGTTCGAATTCACGGAAATCGCGCGTTCTACCGCTGCTGGCGGAAAGCCGGTGGGGGGTACTGGGGGTTCCCAACCCGTCCCCCCCCCCTCGAAAACTGGGGGGGGCCACTACTGGTTCGAAGCCGTCCCCCGTCCCCCCAGTCCATCATGAAAAGGGGGGGGTCACTACCGTCTCGCCCCCCCTCGAAGACCGGGGGGGTCACTTCCGGTTCGAACCCCCCCGCCCCCCTCAAAAACCTGGGGGTTCACTACCGGTTCGAACCCCCCGCCGCCGCCGCCGGTAAACGATTCCCGCTCCTCGGGACAGTTGGACAATGGTGGGAATGCTGGGACAGTGGTGTGGGGACAGTGGGACAGTGGTGTGGACAGTGGTGGGGACGGGGGTGGTGGTGGTGACAGTGGTGAGAGGACAGCGGGACAGTGGTGGGGATAGTGGGACAGTGGTGGGGACGGTCGTGGTGGGGACAGTGGTGAAGGCGGTGGTGAGGACAGTGGGGGACAGTAGTACAGTGGGGAAGGTGGTGGGGACAGTGGGGACAGTGGGACAGTGAGGGGTACAGTGGGAACGGTGGGACAGCACAGTTGGACAGCGGCGGGGACAGTGGGACAGTGGTGGGTACAGTGGGGACAGTGGGACAATGGTGGGGACGGTGGGGAAAGTGGAGGGAGCGGGACCGTGGTGGGACAATGGTGGGGAGAGTGGGGGCAGTGAGACACTGGTGGGGGCAGTGGTGGGGACAGCGGGGACAATGGTGGGAACAGTGGGGACAGTGGGACAGTGGTGGGGACGGTGGTGGTGGGGACTGGTGTGGGGGCAGTGGGAATGTGGTGGAAACAGTGGGACAATGGAGGGTACAGTGGTGGTGGGGACAGTGGTGAAGGCGGTGGCGAGGATGGCGGTGGGATAATGGGACAGAGGTACAGTACAGTGCGGACAGTGGTGGGGACAGGGGGGGCAGTGGTGGGAACAGTGGGGCAGCTCAGTGGGACAGCGGCGGGGACAGTGGGAGAGTGGGACAGTGGTTGGGGCCGTGGAGAAAGTGGGGAGAATGGAACCGTGGTGGGAACAGTGGTGGGGACATTGGGGACAGTGCGACAGTGGTGGGGGCACTGGTGGGGACAGCAGGGACGGTAGTGGGAACAGTGGGGACAGCGGTGGTGAGGACAGTGGTGCTGGGGACCAGTGGGGGATGTGGTGCGGAAGGTGGTAGGGACCCAGGAGCCGTTTGCTGGCGGTGAGCGTGTGGGGGGGGGAGGGAAGGGTTCGAACTGGTAGTGACCCCCAGGGGGGGGGTTCGAAACGGTAGTGACCCCCCTTCGGTTTTCGAGGGGGGGGGGTTCGAACCGGTAGTGACCCCCCTTCGGTTTTCGGGGGGGGGGGGGTCGAAAAACCGGTAGTGACCCCCCCCCCGGTTTGCTGGAGGGGTGGGGAGGGGCTCGAACTGGTAGTGACCCCCCTCTGGTTTTCTGGGGGGGGGGACTGGTTCGAACCGGTAGTGACCCCCCCCCGTTTTCCGGAGGCGGGGGGGGGTCCGACCCGGAACTGACCCCCCCTGCTTTTCGGAGGGGGGGAGGTTAGGGGGGGGGGGTGCTGGGGGGAAGAGGGGGGGGAGGGTCAAGCAGGGGTGGGATTTTCGGACGGGTGGGGTGGGGACCCACGGGTTCCGGAGGAAAAGGGGGGGAATTTTCCACAGTAAAGCGGCGGTGGATGACGGTCTCTCAATTCACGAGCACATGTATCTTTGGGCCCGTGAAGACCGTGTGTATTACATTGCGTCGCGTGTGGCCATCTTTGACCGCCATCACGTGTTGCTACGCGAGCGTTTTGGCTGTTCGACTCTCGCGCATCGAAAGGTGCGTTCTGGTGTTGCAAATCGCGGGTGCCAGCCGAGGACGAAAAACGACGGCAAAATGCATTTCATAACGACAACTAATTACGAACCGTCGTTGGCATCTGGCGCTGGCTTCGACAAGAACGCGTCCGGTGGATTTCGCGTGTGTACTCAACGCGCGAGGCTGCTTGCAAATCTGGTGTTTTGGATGGGGCAGTGAAATCGGCCCCCTTGCATCTGCGGGGGTGGTTGGGCACGTGCTGTCGGAACGGGTAGGGGAGGGGGGGTGTTCGAGGAGCAGGAGGAAAAGGAGGAACGGGGAGTGAGGAGGATGAGGAGGGGGAAGGAGTAGGAGGAGTAGGAGGAGGAGGAGGAGGGAGGAGGAGAGGAGGAGGAGGGAGGAGGAGGAGGAGGAGGAGGAGGAGAGGACGAGGAGACGAGGAGGGAGAGGAGGAGGAGGAGGAGGGAGGAGGAGGTGGGGGAGGGGGAGGGGGAGGGGGAGGAGGAGGAGCAGGAGGAGGAGGAGGAGCAGAAGGAGGAGGATGATGATGAGGAGGTGGGGGAGGGGGAGGGGGAGGATGAGGGAGGGGGGTATGGGAACGCCCCGTTGGAGTGTCAATCACCTCCTTGTGAAATGCCTCATCCAGAGTATACAATATTTGGTGGATGCGTTGTTCGTTACAACGTTGCGATGGGCGGAACAGGCTGCAAATATGGCAGCATACATGTCGTGTAATGATTCCGTAAAGTGGTGCGATGCTGTATGGTAGACCGTGTGGGAAGCGGCGGGGGGAAGGCGAATGATACATCGGATATCGCGTTAATTTTGCTGGGTAGACGATCTGCGAGCATCTTCATTATTCTGGGGGTGCGTAGCCCACAACAGAGCAACGGGAAGCCACGCACGTAGGCAGTTACCAGAAAGGCATTCATACGATCTCGCACGCCGCTTGCGCGCAGCTGCCACCATGAATGCGGTCGAAGGCGTGGCTGAAAAACAGGTGGTGCCAGCGGGTGGCTTCAGAATGAACGCGCGGGAGGTGTATCACAAGGTTGACTCTCTCTCCCCCGCGCCGCGGCGCGATTGCGCCGCGACCGAAACGCACGCCGAGCAGCTCATGCGAGAAGCTCAGCCCCTTGAGCATTCCTTCCCCCCGGGGACCCGTGCTGCTGTGTCAGATGCGGGCCGCGGCCAGGCAGGTGCAGCAGCAGCCCAGTCTGATGTAGTCTTGCAGCCGAAGAAGAGACAGCTTCGCTGAATCGAACGCGTGCGACCACGGGATAGGGAATCGTGATCTTTTCGCGGGGTAACCACGGAGGGACCGCGGAGTTGACGTGTCGCGATCAGGCCGCTGACACATCGCGACCGAGCCGCGGCATCTGACAGCCAAGGGCGCACGTAACCACCTGAGCTTCTTTGATGACCTGCTCGGCCTGCCCAGGGTCATATCAGCATTTCTGGACAGATGAGTTCGCGAGGTGCGCTTGACAGTTGAACAGCCGGGGGCCTCTAGTCCCTTAGTCCCCCACATTCCTAACAGGAGATGCCCAAGGAGTTAACGGTCTAGACTGGCACCGAGCGAGGCTGGCGCGTGGACCAAAAACGTTAACAGGGAAGCCGTGAACAACCACGTTGAACACACATCACCCGGCGCCTGGCAACAGGACTGACAGTAAAACCGTTGACATGACAGGGATGCCTTCGTAAATTCGAGTCGGGTTCAAACTCAGTGCAGACCCTAGTGCTCCATCCTAGCAAGCTCGAAGTCTACGAAAGAAACCTTGCATGTTATTACGCAGTTCACCCTGCACCCAGAGTCGCTCGAGACGTTGCCGGTCGAACACGCGCGGTCGATGTACACGAGGTTATTGAAATTGTGTACCAAACGCCGACGTTTATCAGATTCGCCTCAGGTTTCTAGTTCGTTTGCATGGATTCCTCAGTGGATTACCATGCCCTTCCAGAAGTTTGTGACCTTGGATGAGCGTGTGAAGACGACAGGAGTTTCGCCCACATCCGCGACAGCGGGGGGGCAGAGGCTGACCCCTCTTCGGGCCCAACCTGAGCTGGCCCCCCCTTCCCCCCAGAATCCGAATGAGCTCATTTCAGAGTGGTTGAATCAAAGATCCGGGGTTTAGACTTCAACATTCGATCCTCATACAATTGTTTTGTATTCAACATGGGCACGTTTGAAATTCCGACGTAAAAGCACACGGCCTCAGGAATCCCACCAGACGGGGTACGGCCCCTGCCAACGCAGGACGATCGCATGCATTTTTGTTAGCGAAATGTTTGAAAAACCGATGGGGTTGTAGGTTTGGCTTGTTCAGCATCTTCTGGATTTGCCTGCGTGCGTCGTGCGTCTCTCTAGCTTCTGCGTGCAGTCGTTTGGTCATGTTTCTGTTCCATGCTACCAGCGTCGTTTGAAGTTAGCGCCCCTGACACTTCTGCGGCCACTCTTGGCCGAAAGGGGTGGTTTGTATATAGGCCCCATGCCTGGGGGATTGCAGCATTGGAAATACTGCAGAGTTAGCAGGACAGCGAAGGATTATGTACAGGGTTAGCACGTATCTTGGGCGGTTGGTTCAAGCGCTGATGCATTTAATCGTTGATTCGCTCGCAGGTTTGAACTTATCAAGCAACCTCCGCCTAAGATTACAGACGAGAGGAATAATAGAAGCACCTGCTGACAGGAGGATACGGGAGAGGAATTGAAGGAAAGGAGGAGGCGCAGAAGAAGGAGGAACACGAAGAGGAGGATGAGAGGGATAATCTGGATGATGACCAGGTGGATGCCAAGGCATAGCGCACACGCGGCATATCAGGCTAGACAAGGTGCTGAAGCTTGTCGACTCCCTGACAGACAAGGTGCCGCGTCGACCGTGAATATCGTGCTCTTTGTTTTGGTGTCTTCCGCACAACTCTTGATTTAAGCCTTGCTTCGAGCGGGGAGGGGAGCAGCAGGGAGGGGTGTGAATGAGGGATGCGTCCGTCAGGAGGCGGCAGTACGAGAGGTGCGGGAGGGAGGAGGGACAACGAAGCGTGCAGGCAGGGAGTACGGGTGGCTCCGAGCACCGTGGCATCGGAGCGTGAAGCGTTGGCACAGTTTTGAAACCCTATCTAGTGACTTCGTTTAGGCTAGTACGCGTGGAAGGGAGCGGTCCAAGCAACAACTCGCCCCCGATTGAAATCAAGAGTTTCCTGCCAGGTGATTGTTCTGCACCATTCTCAGAATCGTTCTCATTGGCGTTCTTTTCTGCGCATCTTCCCATGTCCTGTGGTCCTACGTCCTCATTTAGGATCTTCGTTACAGGGGGTGGGGGCTCAGCATACCCCTCGTTTGATTATCAAGCAGTTTTTCGTCGTTTCTCGCAACAAGAGTCAAACGTTCAAAGTCGTGAGTGTGCACATGACGTTCCGCGTCGTCATGGATGGATGTGAAATTCGCTGGTGCAAGGGCACACGTGGCGGACGGATCCACAAGCCTGGCGGCAAGGATTAAATGTTGTTCTGGTGGCCGCGCTTCCATCCATGGTTGTCCTAGACTTGTCGAGCTGTCGAGGCAGCACAGCAGACCTAGAATCAACGCAAAGTAGGGCTTCAGTGCGGGGCCTTTACCACTTCGGGCCGGCATCCCAGTTTCAAAGGTTCACATACGTCACATGCATATTTGGATCTTCGTGAATGTTCCTTGAGAGCGTCAGTGGCGGCGTCCGAGATCTATGTTAGAAGCAGGAGTCAAGGTCTTCGGTACGCTCGTTGACCCGCTAGTGCGTCGTTTGACTTGTTGAAGGGGTGTTCGGCAAGTTTGACTCGTCGGTACGTCTGCCGCTGTAGCGCGAGAACATGGCGAGCCTTCCGTGATGGTGCACCTTGGTCTCGTCGGTTCTGCGATTCACAACGATCGTGATCACCAGCAGTAAAGACAGTAAAGACAGACCTGCGCGTGCCGCTCGTGACGACCTCGTCCTCTGCCCTCACAAGCGCGTCGTCGGCCACGACTGGCAGGCCGATCCCCCAGATTCAGGGTCAAACTCGCTTGGACATCCGTCTCTTCGGCCAAATGCTCCAGTGGCTCCTTGAGGTAATGGATTCCCCTGCCGGTATCGGAAAGCACGCCAGGATGCATCGGCGATGCGGCGCGATCGTCCGACCCCTTCTTCGAAGACCCCATCCAGGAGGCTTCGAGAGGAGGAAGAGGAGGAGGAGGAAGAGAAGGAGGGAGGAGGAGGGAGGAGGATGGAGGAGCAGGTCGTCGTCGGACGATGGTATGCGAAGGTGCGGTGCTCCAGTTCTTCCGGGTAGGCTGGCGCGATGGGTGGCGCATGGGACCACGCGCATTTACGCCACCACCATGCATTTCCCCAGAATAAAAAGACAGAAGACAGAGGAGACGATCGGGGGCGACCCAACATGGGGAGCAGGGGAACGCCAGCCCCTCATTGGAAGACAGGTTTGGGCCAGCAGGCATCGACTCTGTGCGCTCAAAAGCTCTGGCGGCAAAATAAGCGGCCGAAAGCCAAACTAATCGCGTGGGGCACAGCAGCCCTGAGCGAGCAGAAGCAACACCCTGAACGAGATGATGACAGCGCCTGTCGCGGCCAACCAGGGATCTAGGGGCCTGAGGGGTCGGTCAAAGTGATAATGCCACAGGTCGAGCCGGAGCGCGATTGCAGGGGTGGACCTAAACGGTTTTTTGGCGACATCGTGGGCCGTTTTCGTTTCGATATCGTTTTGCAGCAAGTGCGACTTCAAGACAACACGAGGGAAAACGACAACAGAACGAAAACGAAAAACACTGTTTAGGTCCAGCCCGGCGCGATTGGGGGCGGCCCACGACGAGGGAGCCCCAGGGGTCAGGAGCCAGAAGCCGACCTTAGGTGGCCGGAGTCGATCGCTGCTGCGGTCCTTGGGACGTGCAGACCGTGGGCGCTGCCATGCACCAGACGCGACGTACTGCTATATTGTAATGGCCTCCGGCCAGTGCCGCGGATCCAGTGGGCTCCAGATTCGGCGATCTTCGCGGCTCTGTGGTTTCCTCCCTCCTCGATTCTTCGGGTCCTCTTTCTTCTCCTCTGGGGGGATGCCTGGGGCGGTCCCGGGGGAGGTCCGGGGAGGGTTCCGAGGTGAGGGTCCTGGGGGCGGTAGGGGCGACGTATTTCTATACTAGCGGCGCTATGGCAGGAGGAAGGAAGGCAGAGGCCCGCCCTGACCCACCAACGCACGCCGAAGTTGAACAGCATGTCGAAGTCGTTGGCAGGACGAAGCACATCATGTTGTACGAATTGAGGACTTGTCCGCCTCGCGCCATCGACATTGCAGAGGAATGAAATCATGACGCCGCGTGCAGAAGAAACTGCGGGCGCCGCTGCAGTAGCGGTCGAGGACGCCGAAGGAGATGGCATCGACGAGCACGAGCGCCGAGCAGCAGCCACACTAGGGCGCAGGGCGCCTTCGACAAGATGCACAGCTGCTGGAACAGCGGCAGCAGCCTCAGCGGAGGGCGGAGGTGCACGCGGAAGATGATGATGATGTCGATGGCGACGCAGTAGTCGTCGAAGTACCATGATCAGCAGCCATAGGCCTGAAGGCGGCTGCAGCACCATGAGCAGCAGCTCCCTGCTGCTCCCCTGGCTCCGGTGCGTCCCCCTGTCGGGAGTGCTCGCCGGCTGCCGACGAGGGATCGTCAGCGGCAGCCAGAACGCCCGCGCCAACGCCGACAGGATGGCGAAGAACGCAAGTTGGGAACCATGAGGACGCAAAGCGGCTGCGTCAGCTGACGCAGAGGCAGCCAGCAGGCTGTGGCAACCAGCATCCAGGGACTGGAAGAAGCCGAAGCAGCCATGTACGGGAGGCAGCGCCCCAGGGCTCGTTAGGTGGACTATTGGCTTGGGGTTGCCCTCAGCAGCGTTCCAGCAGAAACTCCAGGAGGCTCCTGATGGTGTGGACCGGCACGAGGCTGAGGTGCACCGAAGGCCGCTGTGGCGAGGGCCGCCACAGCGGCCGCGCGAGGAGTCCTCGCGCGGCCGCTGTAGCCGCGGCTGCTGTTGATGCTGCAGGTCATGCTGCAGCCCGGGTTTTAGGTTCGATGGCTGGTCCAATTAGTGGAGTATGAGGACGGCGGCTCACTCGGGCCGCGTAACCCAGCCGCCTCGCCGCCGCGGGCCGCGGGCACCCTGGGCCTCGCCCAGCAGCGGTGGCCCTTGCCAGAAGTATCTCGTCCATAGCGGTCGAGCAGCACGCTTGTGGGCCGTACGACGGCCACATGCAATAAGATGCCCATCAGCACAGTGGACGCAGCCGTGCACGTGCAGCGTGGCGCGCAACGCGTCTGTGCGCAGTCCGGCTGCGACCGACAGCGCGCCGCCCAGCAGCGCATGGGCGTACAGCTGCACGACTCCGATACAGTCGGGCCGCTAAAAGAAGGAATGATAGATAAGGAGCGAAGCCCCGTTTTGACCCCAGAGCGCCTGCGTGCACGAGGAGGGTTCGAGGAACAGCCATGGAAGGACCTGAGGAACAGCGAGCCCCTTCCTAACCAAAAGCAAAAGCGGTACTCATGTGAGCGTCTTGACTGTATCCTGAAGTGGGGCGAGCAGTGTGTCGAGCGGCACGGCTCTGGGCAACACGTCGGCGGCTAACAGCACGACTCCAGGATACACATCGGGGAGCAGTGGAACGTGCATTGCTGCGACCAGCGCGACCGTGGGCACGTGGTCGACAGGCAGCAGTGCGGCGAGCAGCACTCTGTCAGTAGTCCGAAGGTGCCGAGCAGCGCGTGGGGTTCTGGTAGCCCCGTGTTGACTGGCAGGATGGTGTGCAGCATCACGACTTCGGCATCCACCAGTTGGTCGTGAGGACGTCGCGCACTCTGGCGCCGACCAGCGCTGCGCCTACCAGCAGCACGGCGCCGAACAGCATGCTGGTGGCCGGGTGCGGGGGCGCTTCGCTGCCGCGCTGGCTGCGTTACGGGCCCTGAGCAGGCCTCCCTCCTCCTTTTCCCCCTCCCCCTCCTCCTCCTGCGCTTGCAGCTTGTCATCCGCGGCTGGGCTGTGCGCGCGAGTGGGCCGAGTGCCCGAGTGGTGCTCCAGCGCGCGCTCGGCGGGATGGTGGCGTCGGCAGAGGTTGGCTGGGCCTCTGATTCCCGTCCATTGTGGGTACGAATGCCACTTCTTCCCGAGGGGGGTGGGGCACTCTCATCGCGGTCGCCAGCGCCTGCTGGGACGCGCGACCAGCGGGGGCGGCGCTCATGAGCACAAGCCGTGACGTCGCAGGGTGCCGAAGGGGGGCAAGATGTCTGCGACTACGGCTCGGGCCTCGGAGGTGGAGGACGGAGGAGGGAGGAGGAGGGAGGGAACAAAACGAGGAGCAGGATTTGGTTCTGACTCGACGCAGAGGGAGGTACCGCTCGCCGACCGATGCGGGGCTGGCGCGGGCGCGCCGCAGGGGACGCGCGCGCGAGGTCATGCTCGCTGGCGCCCGTCCTCCGGGGAGCCCTCCGCCGAACGGCGCCGGCACCCGCGACCGAGCCACGCTGGAGCTGAAGAGCCAGGCCCGTCGCCCCGCTCCCAGCTTGTCTCGAAGGTTTCGAGGCCCGCGGTGGTTTCCATCGGCTGTTCCTCGTCGAGGGCGTTCTGCGGGGTGCCAGAATCGTCCCGAACGGCTGCTGGAGACATGACGTGTGAATCGAAAACTTCGGCGGAGGTGGACGGAGGAAGAGGAGGAGGAGGAGGAGGAGGTGGAGGAGGAGGAGGAGGAGGAGGATGAGGAGGAGGAGGAGAGGCGACTGCGGAACTCACGGAGCTCGTCCTGGCGGCGCTCTTGAGCGCAAACCACGCTGGACCGGAGGTTTTCCCAACCATCCTGTGGTGTTGGGTCGTTGTTTTGAAGGAAAGAGCGCGTACTTTGGACGTTGGGGAGAGCGGGCTTCGAATCGGACCCCCCCCCCCGAGATGAAGGGGGGTGGGGGGGGTTCGAACCGGGGGGCCCCACTCCCTCTGAGTTGCAAGTGTGGTGGGTGTCGAACCCGGTGGCCCCCCCCACTCTTGTGCAAGGGTGGGTGGGGGGGGTTCGAAACCAGGGACCCCCCTCAATTGTAGGGGGTGGGAGCGTTCGAACTGGCCCTCCCCTCCCGACTGCAGGGGGGTAGTCGAACCAGAGGGGAAGCTCCCCCCCCCTTGCAACCGACGACGGCGACCATCGGCGCCAGCGTCGGCTCCAGCGCCGGCACCGTCGGGCAGCGACGACGACGACGACGACGACGACGACGGCTACGACGTCCATTCCGACGACGACGCCGACGACGCCGAGGACGACGATGGCGACGACGGACGACGACGGCGACGACGACGGCGAGGGCGATGACGACACGATGACAACGCTATCGGCAGCAACGGTGACGGCGATGCCGACGACGACGCTGACGCCGACGCCGACGCCGACGCCGACGCCGCCGACGGCGACGAAGATGACGACGACGACGACGACGGCGAAAGTTATGGCGACGGCGACGACGACGATGCCTCGCTTGCTCGAGCGAGCGAGCGACCACGCGAACACCATGCATTTAATGTCCCGCCGACCCGACCCGCCCGTCTCGCTCGTTCGCTTTGCTTGCTCGAGCGAGCGATCCAGCCAGCGAACAAGCGAGCATTACGCTTCGCGTATCCCCACCAGCCCATCTCACAACAGCAACTCTTGCGAAGCATGCCGACATTCGTGTTTTTCAGGCGTGTTTCCGCTTGGCCCCGCATATCTCCCCTGTTCCTCCTTCCTCCCGCCTCCGTGTACATCCTCCTTGTGGGGGGAGCGGGAGAAGGACGAGGCGGAGGAGGAGGGAGAGAAAGCGCTCCTCGTGGTTTGGGTCGTTTGGGGTTTCTCGTCCTGGTGTGAGTCGTTCGGGCCCTTCTTCCTGGTGTGAGTCGTTCGGGCTCTTCGTGGTGTGAGTCGTTCGGGCTCTTCGTCCTGGTGTGAGTCGTTCGGGCTTCTCGTGGTGTGAGTTGTTCGGGCCCCTCGTCCTGGTGTGAGTCGTTCGGGCCCCTCCTCCTGGTGTGACTCGTTCGGGCTCCTCGTGGTGTGAGTCGTTCGGGGCCCTCGTCGTGGTGTGAGTCGTTCGGGCTCCTCGTGGTGTGAGTCGTTCGGGCGCCTCGTCCTGGTGTGAGTCGTTCGGGCCCCTCCTTCTGGTGTGAGTCGTTCGGGCTCTTCGTGGTGTGAGTCGTTCGGGCCCCTCGTCCTGGTGTGAGTCGTTCGGGCTCCTCGTGGCGTGAGGCGTTCGGGCACCTCGTCCCCTTTTGGGGCGTCTTGGGGGCCTCTTGGCGGCCCCAGGGGCTTCTAGGAGCGTCTTGGGTGCCTTGGGGGAGCCTCTTCGGGCCTCTTGGGAGCCTCTTGGAGGCCGTTTGGGGCGTCTTGGGGGCCTCTTGGCGGTCCCAGGGGCTTCCAGGAGCGTCTGGGGTGCCTCGGGGGAGCCTCTTGGGGCCTCTTGGGGGCCTCTTGGGGGCATCTTGGGGGCCTCTTGGAGGCCTCTGGGGGGCCTCCTGGGGGCCTCGTGGGCCCATCTTGGGGCCTCTTGGGGGCCTCTTGGGGGCCTCTTGGAGGCCTCTTGGGAGCCTCCTGGGGGCCTCTTGGGGCCATCTTGGGGGCTCTTGCGACCTCCTCAGAAGCGCAAAGGAGCGCTGCCCCCTGAGAAGGAGAAAATGAGCCCAAAACTTTCGTAAAATCAATGATTTTGCTATGAAGGTAGATGAGCGCGGCCCCCGCAGGAGGCCAAAATGGGGCCAAAACCGTAGTATAATCAAGGTTTTTGGCTTCAAAGAAGAGAAGAGGGGCCTATCTCCGCCCCCCCGTCGGGGCCAGAATCCTCGTGAGTGTCGTCGTTTTTTAGCCCTCCCAGGAGTCGGAAAAGACCCCCCTGACGACCCGCGGGACTCCCTCTCCAGGCCCAGGGGGGGGGTAGGGGGAGGGGTAAACCCCTCCCCGAAGGGGAAGAAGGGGGGTTGAGGACAGAGAGAGCTCGCTAAACCACTCACGCCCAAAGGGCTGGTGGGATTTCCCAACCTACCGAGCCGACACACACTTGCTTCAGCGAGCGAACCAGCTAGCGTCATGCATTTCATGCTCCGCCTGCCCGCCCCGCCCCGCCGGGCTCGTTCGCTCGCTTGCACAAGCGAGCGAGCGAGCGAGAGTACCGACTCCTTCCTTCCCTCGCTCGCTTGCTCGCGTGCCTGCTCCAGCGAGCGAGCGAGCGAGCAAGCGAGCACCCGTCGTCGTCGCCGTCGTTGTCGCCGTCGCCGTCGTCGTCGTCGCCGTCGTCGTTGTTGTCGTCTCCGTCTTCGTCGTCGTCTCCGCCGTCGTTGTCGTCGTCGTCGTCGTCGTTTTCGTCGTTTTCGTCGTCGTCGTCGTCGTCGTCGTCGTCGTCGTCGTCGTCGTCGTCGTGGTTGTCGTCGTCGTCGTCGCTGCCCGATGCGCTCACCGTCGTCGTCGTCGTCGTCGTCGTCGTCGTCGAGCGCTGTCGCTGGCGCTCGCCGCGGTTCGAATCCCCCCTGCACTTCGGGGGGGACCTCCGATTCGACTCCCCCCCGTGGCAACTCAGGGCCCCTCCCTGGCGGTTCGAACACCACCCCCTTGGAGCCCGGAGCGGAGGGGGGGGGGCCAGTTAGGGAGGCTGGTGTCCAGGGGAAGTGGATGGCTGGGTCTCCAGGGGCGCTCAATGTTTTTCCTAACCATCCTGTGGTGTTGGATCTTCGTTCTGAACGACAGCGCCCAGCGTTCCTTCCTCCTTCTTTCCTTCCTTCCTTCCTTCCTGCCTTCCTCCTCCCCCTCTTCCCTTATTCATCATCACTATCACCGCATCATCCCAACATCCTCATCCATGCGCCCCCCCCCGTCGATTTCGGCACACCCCGCACACGTTTCGTGGCTCCATTGGGAGCTCCGCCGAAGGCCCCAGTGGCAGAGTTCGCATGGCGCCGCCTCCATTTTCGGCGGACCTCTCACACGGTTTCGTGGCACCCGAAGGAGCTCCGCCGAAGGCCCCAGTGGCAGGGTTCGCTTAGCACCGCCGTCTCCATGTCGGCGCACCTCTCACACGTTTCGTGGCCTCACATGGAGCTCCGCCGAAGGCGCCCGTGGCAAGGTTCACATGGCACCGCCGTCTCCATTTCGGCGCACCCCTCACACGTTTCGTGGCCTCATAGGGAGCTCCGCCGAAGGCGCCCGTGGCAAGTTTCGCATGGCACCGCCGCCTCCATTTCGGCGCACCCCTCACACGTTTCGTGGCCCCATTGGGATCTCCGCCGAAGGCCCCAGTGGCAGAGGTCGCATTGCCCCGCCGCCTCCAATTCGGCGCACCCCCAACACGTTTCGTGGCCCCATATGTTTCGCGTGCCCATAGGGAGCTCCACCGAAGGCCCTAGTGGCAGGGTTCGCATGGCACCGCCGCCTCCATTTCGGCGCACCCCTCACACGTTTCGTAGCCCTATTGGGAGTTCCGCCGAAGGCCCCGGTGGCAAGGTTCGCATGGCACCGCCGCCTGCCTCCATTTCGGCGCACCCCTCACTCGTGGCCTCATAGGGAGCTCCGCCGAGTACCCCAGTGGCAGGGTTCGCATGGCACCGCCGCCTCCATTTCGACACACCCCTCACACGTTTCGTGTGCCCATAGGGAGCTCCACCCCAGGCCCCCGTGGCATGGCTCGCATGGAACCGCCGCCTCCACTTCGGCATACCCCTCACATGTTTCGCGTGCCCATCGGGAGCTCCACCGAAGGCTCCAGCGGCAGGGTTCGCATGGCGCCGCCGCCTCCATTTCGGCGCACCCCTCACTCGTTTCGTGGCCCCATCGGGAGTTTCGCCGAATGCCCCAGTGGCAGGGTTCGCATGGCACCGCCGCCTCCATTTCGGCGCACCCCTCACACGTTTCGTGGCCCCATAAAGGGGGCTCCACCGAGGACGATTCTGACAACGGCGGCATTCACAACTGCATATGGTTGGGTCCTTCGCCACGAGAATGTTTGACCCCCCCCCCTTCGGTTCCAACGTGTGACTTTTTTGTTCCACGCAAGCGTCCACGAAACGCGTTCTCTCTTTTGAAGAGGCAGCGTCCCACGTCCTCCTCACTCCTCCCGCTCCTCCTCCCTCCTCCCGTCCTTGCCTCTTCCCTCCGCGTGTCCATGTTGGCAGACCCACCACGCGTTTTGTGGCCCCATGGGGAGGCAGAGCACGATTCCAGACGTTGAGTGAGGAAGTCTCGGGCGAGACGGCTGCTTGACCGAAAGTCATCGGGGCTCCCCGTCCCCCCCCCCTGCGGGACGCTCCTGTGTTTTTTTCGATCAACCTTCGAGCCGAACCGTTTTGCGAAACGAGGAGGAGGGGGAGGAGGGGGAGGAGCGAGAGGAGGAGGAGGAGGAGGAGGAGGAGGAGGAGGAGGAGGAGGAGGAGGAGGAGGAGGAGGAGAGGAGGAGGAGGAGGAGGAAGGGAGGAGGAGGAGGAGAGGAGGAGGAGGAGGAGGAGGAGGAGGAGGAGGAGGAGGTGGAGAAGGAGCTATTCGGGAAAAGTGGGGTGAAACCTGTCTCAGCCTTGAGGCCGCGCGAAAGACGCAAGGGAACAGCTGGTCGCCGCGGTGACGGTGCTCAGCAGCGCCTGAGTTTGGGTGGCTGCGGAGCGTTGCGCTTGTCGCACGGTGTCCCACGCAGCCTGGAGGTGCGTCAGGCGCTGCTGCGCGTCAGCTACGCAGGCGCGGCCTGCCTGGTATTGGCATTCGAGGGAGTGCCAGCGGTCTGCGGACGAAGCTCTGACCGCCGTCTCGGGTCGGCCAGGCCTGGCCAGGGCATCATGCTGGCCCTATGATGACGCATAGAGCCCCGTAGCCTCAGACAGGAGGCCCTAGACACCATGCAGGGGGGGCCCACACGCCTCGACAACATAACCTCAAACATGTCGGCCACGCCCCTTCAATGTCGGGGTGCCCCTTCAACGTCAGCACGCCTGGAAACGTCGTGGCCAGGGGGCATTCAATCATTCAGCAGGGTCAAGTCAAAAGTTCGATGATGATACACATTGAAGGGGGCGCGCCAAGAAGTACGACGCGGTCATCGCCAGCCACTCCAGAAAACACACATAAGCTCAAGTCGGGTATGCAACACATGTTTCAGTTATTTTTGACAAGGATAGTCGGATGCCCCCAGTCTTCTGCGGAGCGGAGTGTGCGCGCGAACGCGTGCGCGCAGCCACGGCGCCGCTGGCGTCAGTGACGGCAGGTTGCCCGGGCCTTTCTCTTGCGCGTTCCCCGCCCCACCCCACCGGGCGCGTTGGGGGAGCGTTGGCCCAGGTTGAGGAGCTGGAGGTTCGCGTGCGGATGATCTCCTCGCAGGAGACCGCTGCTCTGCTCCTATGGTTGCTCGTCCTTCCTCTCACGTCAATCTCCCGTGCGCCCATCTCCTCACCGCCCCCCCTCCCTCCGAGACGAGCGGCGGTGATCTGCTCGACTTTAGCCGCCTGGCTTTTCCCCCGCCTCTTCTAACGGGACGCTCGCTCCTTGGTGTCAAAGGCGCTGGCGCTGAATACCTTGCTGGTCTCTGGCTTCCTCCTCGTTTTGCCTCGCTCTTTCCACCACTCCTGCTCCTCCTCCTCCTCCTCCTCCTCCTCCTCCTCCCGAGGCCCCTCCTGCTGAGGTCGTTGACGGGAAGCTTTGGCAAAGCCTCGGCAGGACCGATTCTCTTGCCCACTCACAAAGTCTTTTTCCCAATCATCCTGTGGTGTTGGGTCCTCGTTTTGAAGAGACAGCGCCCCGCGTCTCCTTCCTCCTCCCGCTGCCCTCCCCTTCCTCCCGCTCTTCCCTCCTGACCACCCCCATTTGGGCACACCCTTGTCACGCTTCGTGGCCCCATAAGGAGCTCCATTGAAGGCCCCAGCGGCTGCGATCGCATGCGGTTCCACCCCCATTTCGGCACACCCCTCACACATTTTGTGGCCCCGTAGGGAGCTCCGCCGAAGGCCCCAGCGGCTGCGTTCGCATGCGGTTCCACCCCCATTTCGGCACACCCCTCACACGTTTCGTGGCCCCCATAGGGAGCTCCGCCGACGGCCCCAGTGGCTGCGTTCGCATGCGGCTCCACCCCCATTTCGGCACACCCTTCGCACGTTTCGTGGCCCCATAGGAACTCCACCGAAGGCCCCAGCGGCTGCGTTCGCATGCGGTTCCGCCCCCCCATTTCGGCACACCCCTCACACGTTTCGTGGCCCCACAGGCCTGGAAGCTCGTGCACGAGGTCCTGGAGGTGGCGACGGCTGCCAGCGGCGGTGCGAGCCCCGAGGCGGCGCCCCTTGCCGAAGGCGCGCCCCAGGCCCCTCCGCCTCCCGAGCAGCCCGGCGCCGGCGGCGGCGGAGCGGGCGGCCCCGAGCCCGCCTCTGGCGGCGCGGCGGCAGCGGACATGGATCAGAGCGCGTTCCTGGGTGAGTTCTCCAAGGATGACCCTTTTGGCTTGCTGTCTGACGTGGCTGACGACGGCGAGCGCAAGCGCGCCATGGAGAGCCTCGCCATGCTGGCCGAGCTCGCTAAACGGCGGCGGACAGGAACACGAGACGGGGACGATGCTGCCCCACGGGTGTAGACACTGGCGCTGCCTCTCCGTGAACGCCACGGCGTACTCGTCGTTCGAGACCCATCTCGAGCGGCGGGACCTCCGCCTGGCGGACCTGGTGTGCGTGCAGGAGACACACCTTGGAGAGGAGCGCGGGCGAGAGGTGGAAGGACAGCTGCAGCGGCTGGGCTGGCATGCCCACGCCACCCCTGGGAGCGGGGTTTGGCCAGGCCACCCTGGCTCTGGCGGCCTGCTGATGATGGCACCGAAGCGCCTCGCCGTGGCCAGCTTTGAAGGCGACGCCCCCTCCGCTGGTGCCAGCGCGCGTGGCGGTGCTCCACGTGAGCGCGGTCTGCCCCGGAGGCATAGCGTGGGGCAATGTGTACCTGCTCTCTGGCGTCGGTCTCTGCCAGGAGAACCTGGACGCCCTGGACCGCCTGGCCGAGCGGCTGATCACCCTCGGCAAGCCCTTTGTGGTGGCGGGCGACTGGAACCTGGAGCCGAGCGAGCTCGCCGACAGCCCGTTCCTGCGGCGCGTGCGCGGCGCCGTCGTCGCCCCTGCGCGGGGGACCTGTGAGCCCGCGCTGCGGGTGCTGGACTACTTCGTCGTGTCGCAGCATCTCGTGAAGGCGAGGGCGGAGGTGCTGCAGGGCTGGACGGTGACGCCGCACTGGCCCGTGCAGCTCACCATTCGCAGCGGCGACATCGACACGTGGGTGCGTGTGCCGAGCGGCCCGCGGGCGTTTCCCACCCCGCAGTCCAGCGGCTGCTGCAGTAAGGATTACGGCAGCGACTGGGAGTTGGCGCGAGTCAAGGTGGCGGCCTCGGGCTCCACCGACGAGGCCTGGCAGCACTTCATCCGCTGTGCGGAGCTGCAGCTGGTGGACGCGTGCGGGCTGACGGGGGACACCAGCGGCTACGTTGGCCGAGCGGACGGGGTCTCCTTCAGGTGGAAGAGGGGTTGCATCCCCTTCCCCCCGCGGTTCCCGCGGGCTTCGACCGAGGCCACCTGGTGCAAGCAGGTGGGGCTGGCGCTGCGGCGCGCGGCAGGCGGCCTTCCTGCCCTTGAGGGCATAGGAGGAGAAGCTGGAGCTGCGGGAGGCGGCCCGGGCGGCCTGCCAGCCGCGGAGCTGGGCGGCGCCAGGGAGGCGCTTGGGGGCAGCCCCGTGGACGGAGACGCGGAGACGGAGGCTTCGGGCATCAGCTGGCTCCGTAGGCTCCCCGACTACTCTGGCCTCGGCACGTTTCGGCCGCAGGGAGCAGACGGCCCTGGGGGAGCCGACTGCAGCCCTGGTGCCGCGCCCGCAGCGCCCCAGAGCGCCCCCCCAGTGGCGGCGGTGCCTCTAGACCGGCACCCTGGGGCCCCCCATGTGGCAGTGCCGGGTTGCCGCCAGGCCTGGCCTCGGCGGCAACCGTGGGACCTGGTGGGCCCGAAGTGGTGGCGGAGCTGGGTTGCCGCCCGGCCCTGGCGGCAACCGGGCGCCCCGGCGAGCCCGGGGGCGGCGGCGGCAATAGGTTGCCGCCCAGCTCCGGCGGCAACCAGGGGCGCCGTCGGGCCGGGGAGGGCCCAAGGGCGACCCCGGATGCTACAGACAGCCGCGGCCTGCAGCACGCAGCAGGTGGGTGGCTCCGTCGCGTGGAAGCCTTGACCCAGCTCGGCAAGCTCGCCCGAGCAGCACCCCTGCGCACGCCGTGGGGAGCGGCCTTGCAGCCTGTGGCGGCCCTCGCCCATGAGCTGCCGCTGCAGACGGTCCAGGCGGCGGGTTCGGTGATCAACGAGCTGGCGGAGCGGCTTCTGAAGCGCGACCGGGCAGCGGGGAAGCAGGCAGCGGGGCGCTGGCTGGACGCCCAGGGCCTCGGCGGCGCGGGTGGGCCCCACCGCTGGTCGCAGGAACCCGCGGGCTGGCAGCAGAGCCCGCTGGGGGCCGACGGCGTGCCGATGGGGCGCATGGAGGCCGTCGAGGCCCTCTTGGTCGAGTGGCAAGGGCACTGGTGCGTCGGGCAGCCGCGCGAGGAGGTCCAGTGGCCCGCCGACCTCGGCCCGAGACCTGCGCGACCGTCCGTCGAGGAGCTGCGGAAGGTGCTCCAGAGCTTCAGAGAGCACACGGGCGTGTTGTACGACAACCTGAACCCGCGGCACCTGCTCGCCCTGGACGACGAGGGGCTGGAGTGCCTGGCGGACCTCAGCGCCCGCCTGGAGGAGACCACCTCCTGGCCCGCCTTCATCGCCAAGACGGTGTTCCTGCCCAAGAAGGAGGGCGGCCTGCGGCCCATGGCCCTCGTGGCGGCTCTGGCACGCATCCACGCGCGGCTGATTGGGCGGAATGGGCGGCAGGGCGGCGCGAGGCTTTCCCGCTTGAGGAGTGGGGGGCCGCCTCTGTGTTGCTGGACCTCTGGAAGGCCTACGAGCAGGTGCTGCACCCGCAGCTCCCGTCGGCCGCCCAGCGCTACGACTACCCCCTGTGGCTGCTGAAGCTTTCGGTCGAGCTGTACAGGCTCCCGCGCGCCCTCGCCCCCGCGGGGGCGACCTCGGAAGCGCTGGAGGTCGAGCAGACCGTCCTCCCGGGGTGCGGCTTCGCGACCACGCTGCTGGAGCTTCAGCTGATCGGGCCCCTGGACGCCGCGCGCGGCGCCGAGCGGAGCCTGGGGATGGCGGTCGTCGTCGACGACCTGGCGCTCTCGCGGCGGGGAGGCTCTCGCGCGGTCTCCACGGCGCTCAGCAATGGGGCGCGCGTCCTGCAGCGGGAGCTGGCGCGCGTGGGGCTGCGCATAGCGGTCAAGAAGTCCCGGGCGCTCGCGTCCCCCCCCTACGCTCCGCACCACCCTGGGGCGCCAGCTGGCCTGTGTGAGCGCCAAGGCCAGACGCCACGTGCGGAACCTCGGCATCGACTTCAGCTGCGGGGTCGGGCGCCCCCGGCGCGTCCAACGGGCGCGTCTCCAGCAGGCGCGCGCGCGGGTGCCCAGGCTGCGGCGCGCGCTGGGGACTACCCGGCGGCGCAGGGGCGTGGCGAAGGTCGCCAAGTGCGGCCTCGAGGCGAGCTGCACCTTCGGCGCGGGGGCGACGGGCGTCGCCGACCAGAGCCTCGATGCCCTCCGCACGACGGCCTTCCAGGCCACGGAGCCCCGCACCGGCGGCAAGAGCAAGACGATGGCGTTCATGCTCACAGGGGGCAGCGACTTCGACCCGATGTTCGGGTGCAGCAGCGAGGTGGTCTTCACGCTGCACCGCGCCTGCTGGGAGGGCTGGCTGCCCATGCGCGTGCTGCAGGACTGCTTCGCCGAGGCCGAGCGGGTGCGCGCCTGGAACCAGGCTCGCGGCCCCCTCGGCGCGGCCACTCTCACCCTTCGGAGGCTGGGCTGGAGCGTGGACAGCCTTGGCCAGTGGACGACGCCCGACGGCCTCAGCTACGCGCCGCTCGACTACGACCCCAGGACGACGAAGCGCTTGGTCTGCGAGTCCGTCGCGCGCTGGCAGTCCTCCCACGTGCTGCATGGTCAAGGGCTCGACCCAGGCGTGCTGCCCATCCGCCAACTTCGGCGATGGACGGAGCACGGGCGCGGCTCGGCGGCGGAGGCCAGGAAATGGCCGCCCCTCACTCGGGAGGAGCGCGGCTATGTGCGATCGGTGCTGGTGGGCGGGCAGTGGCCCCAGGAGCGGCGGCACGACGCGGGCCTCGCGGATCACCCGTTCTGCACGCGGTGCCAATCGGCGCCTGGCACGCTGTGGCACCGGCACGCCAAGTGTCGCGACAGCTGGGGCGGCATGGTCATGCCTCAGGCCATGTGCGGG